AAACAATATAACAGCTCTCAAAGTGTCACACTGGATTCAACAATGTAAAGCATGCACCTTTATATTGCGCTACTGATCTATGACTAAAAATTCCTGCAAATCCACCTCTTGCTTTTTTTATTTTTTTCTTCTTCATGATCTGCTTTTCCACTAAAACATGGCATATTTGAATCAATAGGCCACAGTGCCTTTCCTGTTACAGGATGCAAGAGACCATTAAGAAGGCAGAAGAAATTTAGCAAGGCGCAGCACAACATACTTCTCTCACCATAACTTCATCCAGACAAATTAGGTAGTCACAGTGTCTCCAAGATGACAGCTTTGAGACGTACCTGGAGATGTCCGAGATGATCATAGCATCTCTGCAGAGGACACAGCAGTCAGTAATACTACACAGCACTTGGAAGACAAGAAGATAGTTCCTCCAGAGCAGAGGACAGAAGGGCGTTTCAGTCAATCAAGTGGAATTAGCAAGTTTAAATTTGACTAGAATGTTCACCTGCTTCTGTGATAAATGCTACATGATCTCTGATGACAATTCAGTATTGCTTCCCAGGTCCAGATTGTTGAGAAGAAAGAATACTGTGCACCCAAAATGACATGCACCAACATCTCATGATCTCTCATTCAAACACACTGATCCCATCTATCTCTGATCCGCTTATGAAATGTGCAGAGATCACGGCACAGGAGGCCACGGTTGGGAAGTTACACGTTTTTAGAAGAGCAGGGTAAAAGCTATTACTCTGGGAGCTTCACTCACTGCAGTAACATTTACTAAGAAGTTGTGGTACACATCAGTCTGCTTCAGCAAGCCAGGCACAAAGCCCTTAAAATAGGCAATACTGTACTGTAAAAAAACAAAACAAGAGAAACACCTGAACCACATGCCAATGTTGGTTCCTCATTTCCAGTTCAAATCCTGAGAGCTGTTAATGTTTAGATACGTTAGAAAACATCGTTGTCAGCGTGTTACCCATGAAACAGGAATAGGAGAGTTATAGCATCTCACAATGAATAGAGTGACTCTCCCTTAAATCAGGTAAGTATGAAGCTATTTCTAGTGAAGGATAAGTAAGAAGCTAATGATGGTTATTAATAGCCCTTAAAGCTAACAGTTCATCTGAGTTAAATGCAAGAATAATAATCCCTTTATGACCTTCCCCATTTTTACTGGGGAAATAGACAAAATTTCATGAAAGACTGCTTTTAACCAGTTTTCAACTATTTAAAATCTTGAAAATGACACTAATCTGAATGAGAATCTACCAGAATCTGCTATTTATATATATATCCTGAAGACTTAAAACACAAATGGTAGGTAAGAGCTTTGCCTTTTACCACCTCTTCAAATTCAGTAGGATTTTCCCCCCAGACTTCTATAGGTATTGAATCTACATGTTAATCTGCCATGAGGCATGTCTAGGGACTACAGGTCACCCAATTTGAGAAACTGGATTGCAATGATAAAGGTGGTAAGGATTTCTTGTTGTTATTCACCATTAGTCACAAATCACTAGCCCAGAAAACTTGCTCTTGTAGCAAGGAGAACTATTACTGAAACCAGTCAAGCCTTGACCTGAAATACAAGAGCTACATCTTGACCAGCAGCATGAAAGAGAAAAAAATAGTAATAGATCTGAACTGTTCAGTTTGAGAATTCTTCCTCTGCATCTCTACTACAAATCTGGACAATTAGACACATCCATAAACACAAACAATAACATAGCAGTATATAAAGCATATTCCTTCTGGGAAATAGGACAAAGACTGATATTTCATAGACTGGCAAAGTTCTCTCTCTAGGCACTTTGGTACTTCATCTGCTGCTGTGCTTCTTGAGCCTTTTTTTTCTGGAGGACTTCTTATGGTGCAGGTACAAACAAGACAAAGGTCTAGTTTGAAATAGCAAGAACAAAATGAAGACAAAATTTCATCTGCTAGTTGACACTCTGCCTTTATGCCCCTTGGCTTTAGCTAGAGCTTGGTAATAAAAAGGGGAGATACGTACATGAGTCTGCTCAGTCTACAAAGCACATACCTGGCAACGCACTTGGTCTAAGAACATAGCCTAGTATTACAAAACAAACTTACGTATTTATCTTTGTGGTAGTAATACTGATTTTGATTGTGGTTTAGGGTTTGTCTGATTTTGTTCAGATTGGCAATTGGCTCTGTACAACTCAAAACATTTTAAGGCCACAGTGTATGTATTTGAGGTGCATACTGTTGTTCCTACACAGAAAAGGTAAGGAGTGTTTCTAATATGTAGTAAAGATAAGGTAATAAAATCATGGAACTTGAATCAAATCATGAAACGTTGCACTTGCTCCTGAGAAACTATTACATGTTTTTGCAGAAATCCATGAGAACCGTGTCTAGGCCATCCACAACATGAAGAAATAACTGCAAGCTGTCTTGGATAGTGGAAAGTCACACAACTGAAATATTAAAGTACTGAAGTTACACTGACTTTGTAATGAAGTAAAAAACTGAAGTGGAAATGCTTTCTTTCTCAGTTTTACCTAGTGCCCTTCTCTTGTACAACAGATGTTACCTAGGGGACAAAAGTCATCTACAACTGCTCAGCAGATTTGCTCAACACAGGATCATGCTCGCTCTGCATGCTGCTCTTTATCTTGCAGTGGTTTCTATCTCAAACAGAAAACAGGCATTTTGAAGTGATTAAAAATACGGCAGTAATAATCAACAATTTCTTTCGCTTGCACCCTATCTCCCCTTTACTATATACTTTAAATATAAGCAAAACTCACAGTCATGGCCAGCAGGTCCTGATTGCACCCAAGAGTTAACAGGGACTCTGACTAGCAAGTAGCCTTGAATGTCCTAACTGATGCAATAGGAAAATTTGACTGGATTGGTCAAAGTCAGCATATTAACAACCTGACTGCCCTCCAGCTCATTTGTTACATCCAGCATTAAAGGTTAACATTAGAAGTAATGCAGTTTGCAGGAGTAGGGAAGAGTGTACGAGGGCCAGGCTGTGGCTTGAGTGCACAGGAGTAGATGCAGTGTCAGTACAGCTGGGCATCAAGGACAGCAGGCAGTTCACCTGGCACTTTAGCTGTTCCAGTTGTGAATTTGGCAGAATACAGGACACTTGGGGGATGAATGAATATCCTGATGGAGACAGGAAGGACAAGACTTGAGAAATGTGAAGTGTTTCCAGGTTAGCCTAATCTATTGCTTGCATAGTCTCTGTCTCCATTATTTCTTCTGCAATACTGCATGTATTTAAATAAATACTCTGTTCTGTTTCAAATGTCCGAAGGCATGAAGGTACAACAGCAGCCTGGCATGGGAAACAATAATCAATATTTCAAGTAGTTATCATGAAGAAAACACAGGGGAGATTTGTTAACACTTAAGTCACTGTGTCAGAAACGAAGAACATGTTTAGAAGGAGACTTGGGACTCCCACTTCTGGGCTCACTGCATCGTCAGTTACCACAAGTTGTTCTGATCTGATCAGACTCCTAATCCCCATTGTCCCAGGGGTGGGTAGTTAATTCAGAGCACTGTCCTGCATTTGGTAGAGGGGATGTTTCACTCTCTCAGTACATACAGCTTCCATATGGGAGGGAACAAAAGGGAAGAAACAGCAGAGTCTTCTTACCTAGAGAGCCGCCCAGCCAATGACTACATGCAACAGCTGGGAAGAAAGAGATTCCAGCGAACTCCTGAGATGGGTGCTTTAGGGATTCAGAGCACCTCAACTGTGAAGATAACTTCTTGCCTAGTCGTGGCAACAAAAAACATCAGTGTGCTAGCCTCATTAATTACTAGTTTAAGAATCTGAAGGGCTAGAATCCACTTTAAGATGTTACTAAGGAGAAGACTCCAAAACCACAAAATGGGACAATTTATTTTTACTGACTCACTGATGACTCTGGTAGGTACAGTTTGGACAGGTGACAGGTGAGAAAGGTGGCAGGGCAGACGATTCTAACACATCAGAAGCAACTTCTTTTTATCCTCCCGAAAGTTACTTAGTGAATTCTTTTCTGTAACATGACAGCACCTTTCTAGTCCCTTACACTTAAGCCACAACCTATCTGTATTCAGTATCACCCTCCATCTCCTCAGAAGTAACCACTGCTGAGAAGTCCACAAAACAAGCCCAGCAGCTGTAGCATAATGTGAATGTCCTCTTGAATTGATTTTATGTTAGAGCTAAAAAAACATGAAGAGGTTTTCTGTGAAACTGACAGATAATGTAAAATTCAATGCAGTACAGTGTACACTAAAGCATGATGCACACTATGGTCTTTGGGCTGGATCAGAGATGTAGTCTAGGGGTAAATACGGTTGACATGTGAAGAATAGACACAGTATGCTATTAAAAATTGTTAAGTAGCCTATTAATTAGGTGCTATTAGACTTAAAAGCATTAGATACTTAAGATAATTTTGCATTCCTGTTCTCATTAGCCCCACAACAAGACCTCAAAATAATTGCATTCACACATATGCTCCCAAGTTAAAAATACAAATCATATCTGCAGAAAACAGCACAGTAAGTATACATATGGGTGTGTATTTCCTTTCTTGTGATATTCCAGTCAATACGAGCCACAAACACAGATATTAAATGCTACCAAGAGCAAAGAAAAACATGATCCATGGCTGCATATAGGGGTTCACACCCCATACTATTTTTCTTTTAGAAATGTAAAATATACCTGTAAGCTTCTGTGACAACGCTACTAGAGCCACCATCCAAAATCCCTATCTGCCTTGAATTCTGATGCAAAATAGAAAGTCATAGCTTGCATTCTGCAGAAGTTATTCAACAACAACAACAACCAGAATTTTGCAGCCAGCTGCTTTAAAATAGTAAATATGAGAATAAAGAAGTAATTTGGTAACATTCATCTTCACTAAAAGCAGCAGTCATGCAAGGAGTTCAGTCTTTGGAATGGTATCAGGCCTGATTTGATAATCCCTATCATTTTATACTTCCTGCATATATGACAGTACCTGTTCCTCTTTTTCTTTGGTCTTGCTCCTGGAGACTCTGGAAGAGGTAACATCCTGAGCTGGAATGACAGAGATTTGATGCAGTGGCATGTTCATCACACTGCCTTGTTTGGTCCTATCATTTACAGGAAGGAGGCTTGAAGGCAGTGTTTATTCAGTGCCATTGTCAGGCGTTGCACCTAAAAAATAAAAATATTAGATAATGTTAAAGTAGCTTGAAATGCAATTATTTCTAAATCAAAGCTAAGACATCAATTGGACCAAGATGCACCTCTTATCTTCTCTCTGGATTCTGAACAGAAGAGAGTTTGGTGCACTGACTGGATGAGAAAAGACACAGGAGTTTTAAAGAGCTAGAACTAGACAGGTCAGAGCACAATTTATGCAAATTAATGCATAAATAAATTATCAACCAGTTCTGAAAGTAGTCCAAGAGCAAAGCCAGAGGGCAAGGATCATGCTCAAGTCTGCACGGATAGGGAGGAGGAGGAAGAGCAGTTCTCCAAGCTGAGCAGTGGAAGCATGCTACCTGGGGGTACAAAGAGCAAAGTTCATGCAGGTAGTTTCCCAAACCACCCCTCAGGCATCATAGTGAATCAGGCTGAATGGTTAAAAACAGTCCATGGCCTGAATTTGGCTCCTTCATATAAACATGTACCAGCTGGCAATAGGAAGATGCATCATGTGCGCTGTTCCTTTCTTAAGACTATTAGAGAATAATATAATCAAAATCCCTTGCTAGGAATTGGGAATCTGTTGGACAATACACACTTTATCCTTCTTTTACTAATACAACAGGGAAGCATTACACATAGGAAAGACAGTGATAGACCTAAATTAGCGAAAATTGGCAACACTAATCTGAAAGGCAGGCATAATTAGCCAAACATTTTATTAGATTAGTGAAGTTACGTTAAATAAAAAGCTTTTTGAAACATATAGGAACGTGGAGTGTTTATTTGAAATGTAACCTGCTGCAAATGAGACACAATCAATTGTGTTTAAAGAAAGGATTAGAGGGGAATTAACACAGCAGGGATTGCATTAAATAGGGCACCTGGATGATGCACTGTTCTTCTGTTTCCATATCAACTTTTTGTTTTTGAATCTGTGAAAGCAGAAAACAGAGGATAGATGGCCCTATATATTATGTTGCTTAACAGTTTGGAAGTAGTATAGCCTAGGACCTAGTACATAACCTTAACTTACATTGCACACATTTCTTATTGAATATTTATTAATTGGAAGTTTTAAAGATAGGCCAAGGTTCCTAGGTTTTTGATTCTGTAAGAAATACCAGTCTGGTTCTATTTCCATTAGACTCCACAAAAGTACTGCAGTTGTGTAAAATGAAAACAGGATCAAAACTTTCAACTGCTTTTGATTAAACAGAAGGAAAAAAATAATAATTACATATCCCAAGGCACTTTATACGGGGAATGGTAGTTCAGTATCATCTCTGCACTGAAAGGGAGAGTTATCAAAGTTCATAGAGCAAGTCATGAGCAAAAACAAAAATGCAGGCAATGCCTGCTGCTTCCCAATCACACACTCCATTTGCTGGATGATGCTATCTGCCCATTAGAGTGTTCAGCCAAATTCAGCAGCCTTACTGACACGTGGTCAGTATTTGTATTACTTCTGTAAGTGCCAAGACAGTGAGTGCATCATAAAGCATGCATGAAAGCTTTGAAAGCAATGCCTCCATAAGTTCTAAGCATTACTGATTTTAAAAATAAAACACATCTATAAGCATAAACAAGCAACAACAAGGAAAATCCCTTATTGGAGGACAGAGGAAAACACGGGTCTTAGCAGCACTATAAAGCATAAAGAGAAAACACAGAACCTCCCCGGGTCCTCTACACACCTGTTTAGCTGCATCCTCTAAAGTAGCCAAGCCAGAGAGATAAATGTGGGCTGAGACAGAAATATCAAACTTCAATAAACAAAGCAGGAAGGGAAGGTATTTTCCCAAGAAAACATAAGGAAATTAAATCCAGAGAACATTAAGCTCCAATGAAAATATGCCAGATAATATGTTCTGTGCTACTGCCAGTGATAGCTGAGCCAAGAAGGAGGAGAAAGGACCCTGGTCTGTGTCCCCCTCAGAAAGGGTTCTGGGCTTGCAAACAAGGGCATATTATTACCATAAAGAGAACAAGGAAAATTATTAGAAAACACAGTTAAACCCCTCTGATGATGACCAAGAAGTAAAACCAGTTTTTCTGCAGGTACTTTGAGGACAGAGTGTTAGAATTCTTTGAAAAAGCTCAAGCAGCAGATATAATCCAATTAGATATTCAAAGACGATGTGAAACAGCCCTCCTCTGGTAAAAAAAAGCCTGGCAGACACTCTAATAAAGCCTGTCTTTGTTCCAGGGTGGCTCAGAATAAGCTCTAAACTTAACCCAGATGCCACACTGTACCACCCCCAATCTGGAAGGTCCCCATCAAGGCACACACTCAAAACCTGTCTGTATCAACCTGAAACATGTTAACTCCACAGCGCTAATTAAAGGCTAAAGTTACATGAATAAACAGACCATCTGCAGTACCAAGTACAAACAGACAAGGATGCCAGAAAAGCAATGCCACTCAACACAAAGCAAGTTATGACAAGCTCCACAGGGCATTTTTCACAGCTAAATTAACATTGCATGCACCTCAAATCCATGGGTTAGAAGTTGCACACCAATTAACAGGGCTCCAAGCTTCAAGCACATCAAACTGGGGGCCTCACAAAAAAGGGAAGGGCGTCCAGGGAAGAAATGCTAAGATAAGGGGACTGCTCATAGATACTCCCTTCTTTTCAGGATTCCAGTCAGATGTTCAGGCCATCCCCCACACAAAGTGAGGGTTCCTCATTACTACAGCAACTCCACCCAACAGCTGAGTAAACTCACCCAGGAAGTGGCATATAAGGGCTCAACTTCCTCCTCCCATGTGTGGTATTTGGTTCATAAACCACACATGCAAGGGAAGTCCCATGACCACTGGTATAGATGTCATTCTGTTCACAGAGGAAGGATTTTCCAGCTCCTTTTTGCCTGGAATGCTGAAGTAATTGTGGGATGAAAGGATAGGGAGGGCACATGCACCAGCCAGGTCCCATAGACAGGTCCTATCTGCCTGTGAAGGAGGAGGGATCCTATTCTCCTTCTGCCCTCATGATGGTTCACATATCATTCACTGGAGTAAAATACTTAAACAAAACTTCTCTTAGGAGTTTGGGCTTTCAGCAAACTATAATAAAAGTTAAGTCTGTTCTCATAGTTGGACCCTTTAGAGATTTATTTTCTAATGCTGCCAACAGTCAATAAGCCACAAATATAGACTAGGGAGGTTTCGTGCAAACCTGGCTGGGACACATGGAAAGGCCAGGACAGAGGACTGAGATGGGGAGTCTAAACAATCTTAGATTGATGGTACAAGACTGGCAAACTTGTGCAAAGACAAAAGGAGGCATATGGGGCTGTTCGCAAAGACATACCAGGTGCTGATAATGTTGCTAGGCTACTATCTCCTAGCTCAAAGAGAAGCCTCCTCTGGTCCTTGAAGTTGTGGGTATCAGCAACAGATTACCCCACAAACTGGCCAGGCAGTCTGGTCAGAAGCCAGAGAACAACTGAGGCTGCGCAGAGCGACAGAGTGAAAAGCTCATCAGCGAGGAAGAAGAGGTACTTCATCTATGCGACCCCTGCCCAGAACTTCAAGAGCTCATCCATCGTGCAGGTGTAAGGGGAGGAGACCTGATTACCATGAGAAGTGAGGAGAGGCGGGGGTAGACTATGTATACGTATAGGCGTTCTATGAATATGACTACTTTATAACATATAAGCCGGACGGGAGCTGCAAACGGCACGCATGCTTGTGGTGGAGCGATCCCCCATGCACTCAGCGCTGAATAAACATACCTACCTTAGAACTCCACAGTTACAGAGTGATTTTTCCGTAAGTCATCATGGCACCCCAGATGGGACACTCTCTGCTCGGCTGCTGTTGACTGCTGACGGGTGAACTTCCTAGGTGCACCCCAAGCCTTTCTTGGAGGAACTCTGCTCCCAGCTGTCCACTGCGGGAGCTGACAAGGACCATCTGATTCGCGGACAAAGGTATGTTTATAAGGGTAACAGGCTGCTGGTAAGACACACAGAGACGTCTGGCGCATGGCTCAGTCCCAAGGAGGGGGTATACCCATTTGGTTTTGGTTTGGGGAATCCACGGGAAAGGAGTAAGATCTTTTGGGGCAAGCTACCAATGACTAGTATATAAGAGGCAGTTTGCATTTTGGGCAGGGTACTGGTAATTGCCGTCACCTGCAGGATCTTGCTTCGGGTCATTGTATAGTGCACTAATGGTGGATATACTGGCTTTGAACTGACTGCAAATTGTTAATGGTTTATGATATATGTTACAAACGGACTTGGTGATTGTTTAAACTCTGTATATTTTGTGGTATGAGTGGAAAGTGTGGTGGGCCCTTTGAGTGTCTGTGTGCCTGCATGCCTGCAGGGCGTGAGTGAGAGCAGCCGCTGCTGTGTGAGTGAGAGGCAGCCGCTGCAAAACAAATGAGAAGTTTATGTCTGTTTAAATAATACACTGTCCTTGTATGTCTTGTGAAAACACTGTATGAACCAGAGATGGGAAAGTGAATCCCTTCTCTGTTGGTTTGGGTTAGAATCTAGTGATTACTTGTGTAGAAGGAATGAATGGTCAGCACGGGGAAATGATTTATACCTGCTAGAAGGACTGTACACAGCTCCTTCTGGGCAACTGGTAGCACCAGACTGGGAACAACCAGCAGATTATACTCTCTGGGTTTGTGGAAGAATCCCCTGCTTCCTCTGTGCTCCCATGCTCCTACCTTTGGTAATTTTCATCAAACTTGGGTATTAGCAGAGTGCGTAGATTGTCGGTGTAAGTGGCATTGTGCGTCATCATGATAAGAGGAGGTCGAGGTGTGCAGAGTGCTGGGAAGAAGAGGTGGTGTTAGACCTCTCTGTCGAAAGACAGGAGTTGATAATTATTAAATTTGTGTGTGGAAGAAGTCATAAGATACCGGAACTTTGGGAAGTGAAGGAGGAAGAGTGGGAGAAGGTTAAAAGATAGTGTAGAAACCGCTATAAGTGGAGAGAAAGGATTCTGGGAAGGAGGAATAATAATGGGAAATAAGCAAGGAAGAATTGTAAAGAAAAGTCCATTGGATTGCATACTCACACACTGGAAAGACATAGCGGGGAGGGGAAGCACGGAAAGCAAGAAAATCCTGATTAAATATTGTAATCATTGGTGGCCACTTTACAAACTAGAAGAAGCAGTTAAATGGCCACTAAATGGGACCTTAGACTATAACACGCTTTTGCAATTAATGTTCTTTTTACAGAGGGAAGGGAAGTAGGATGAGGTGTCTTACGCAGACATGTTCTTTACCCTCCGAAATCACCCAGAGTGGCAGAGGAACTGTGGACTAGTTCCACCACAAGATCCTTTAGTGCTTGCCCTGGAAAAAGATCAATGAAGGGAAGACTATATTATGGTGGTGGGAGCTACTAGCCAAAGTGAAAAGGCTTATTTTTGCAAACCTTTGAAATATAAACTGGGAAAGCAGTTAGGCATACACAAATTTCTGTATATGCCTTACTCCACAAAAGCGCTCCTAGGAAGAGACTTACTAGAACAATTAGGAGCAACCATTACCTTTAACAATGGAGAGATTACTCTGGAGGTAAATAACCAAGAACTTATACAAATCATGAGCTTGTCCCTAACTAGTATCCCCACAGGAGGAGAAATCAGTGAGGAAATTATCAATCAAGTGTATCCCGGAGTGTGGGCCACTGACACGTCTGGAAGGGCAAAGAATGCCTCACCTGTAGAGGTAAAACTTAAGGAAGGACAACAACCGGTAAGAATTAAGCAATACCCTTTAAAAAGGAAGATCAGAAAGGGATCCAGCCAGTTATAGAAAAATTTTTACAAATGGGATTAATAAATAGATCTCCACCCAGTGGTGGCAAACCCATACACTTTGTTAACAAAATTAACTCCTGAGCTAATCTGGTTTACTGTTTTAGTCCTCAAGGATGCTTTCTTTTGCCTCTCTCTCCTCGAAGCCAGTCAGAAAATATTTGCATTTGAATGGGAAAATCCTAAGAGTGGACGTAAAACCCAGTTGACCTGGACAGTGCTGACACAAGGATTTAAAAACGTCCCCGCTATATTTGGTAACTAATTGGCCAAAGACCTTGAACTATGGGAAACCCCAACTCCACCTGAAGAGGGAAAGCTGTTGCAGTATGTAGACGACCTCCTAATCGCCACCAATACAAAAGAGGCCTGAGTGACCTGGACGGTAAGCCTTTTAAATTTTTTGGGACTTCAGGGCTATCGGGTATCTAAAATGAAGGCCCAAGTGATGCAGAGTGAAGTGATCTATCTGGGCTACGAAATCAGTGCTGGAAAGAGAACTTTAGGATAAGCTTGGAAGGAGGCAATCTGCCAGACTCCGAGGCCACAGACAGTGAAAGAACTGTGAACGCTCCTGGGAATGACTGGGTGGTGCCGACTATGGATTTATAATTATGGATTGCTTGTTAAACCTTTATATGCACTAACCACCACTGAACAGAGAAACCTCCAATGGAATAAGGAGGCCATATGAGCCTTTGACTTGCTAAAGAAGGCCCTGATGTCAGCCCCGGCCTTGGGACTTCCAGATGTAAGTAAACCATTCTTTCTCTTTTCACACGAGAAACAGGGAATTGCATTGGGAATACTGGCATAAGACTTAGGCCCGTATCGTCGGGCAGTTGCCTGTTTCTCCAAGCAACTAGATACAACCGCTAAAGGTGGGCCCAGATGCCTATGAGCAGTTGCAGCAGTGATCTTAAGCATACAGGAGACAAGAAAATTCACCTTAGGCCAGAAAATGACTGTGCTAGTATCTCACATGCTGTCTGCAGTATTAGAAATTAAAGGGGGACATTGACTTTTGCCTCAAAGGTTCTTAAAATATCAGGCGGAATTAGTAGAACAAGATGATGTGGAGATTGTAGTAACTAACATTATTAACCCAGCTTCTTTCCTGAGTGGAAACACAGGAGAACCAGTGCAACATGATTGCCTGGAGACCATCGAGGCAACATACTCAAGCCGCACAGATCTGAAGGAAGATGCTGAGAACTGGTTTACAGATGGGAGTAGCTATGTCCTGAGCGGCAAAAGGTATGCTGCGTATGCTGTCACCACCACCCAAGAAATACTGGAATCAGGACCGCTACCCATGAATACATCTGCACAAAAGGCAGAGATAATTGCTCTGACCCGTGCTTTAGAATTAGCCCAAGACAAAACTGTGAACATTTATACAGACTCAAATTATGCCTTTGGAGTAGTTCATGCTCACGGAGCAATCTGGAAGGAAAGAGGACTGCTAAATTCACAAGGGAAACACATCAAACACGGGAAGGAAATTCTGAAGCTACTGGAAGCTGTCCAACTTCCAAGAAAAGTGGCAATCATGCATATTAAAGCACACCAAAAGGTGAACTTGGATTTGGAAAAAGGAAATGAACTAGCAGACAAAGAGGCAAAACAAGCAGCCAAAAGAGAGGTAAAATTGGAAGGAGCTTTAGTTCCTGATGGGCAAGTCATCCCAGAAGGTAAGCCTACTTATACTAAAGAAGATCAGAAGTTAATTACAGACCTGGAAGAATCATATAATGAAGAAGGTTGGGCCATCACTCCCCAAGGGAAGGTAGTATTTCCCTCTTATTTAGCTAGACACCAGGTATGGGAGGAACACAGGAAAGGGCACTGGGGAGTGGAGGTCCTATACCGATATTTGGTCAAGAGCATTAGAGCTAGAAATTTGTATACCATAGTAAGACAGGTGACTCAACAGTGCGACCTTTGCCTCCAGACTAATCCTAAGAATACCCCCACTCTAGAAGCAGGCCAAATTGGAAAGGGAAATGGACCGGGACAACAATGGCAAACTGATTTTTCAGAACTTCCAAGAAAAGGGGGGTATTGATATTTACTGCTATTAACGGATACCTTTTCAGAATAGCCAGAAGCATTCCCCACTAGGTCTGCCAAAGCCTGGGAAGTAACAAGAATATTAGTACAAGAAATAATTCCACGCTTTGGGGTCCCAGCGACTATATCCTCAGTTAGAGGACCACACTTTAATCTCGAAAGTAGTCAGCAAATCAGTCACCGTCTGGGTATAGACTGGCAACTTCACACTCCTTATTGTCCCCAATCTAGTGTCCAAGTAGAAAAGATGAACCATTTGATTAAGCAGAAAATAGTGAAACTTGGGCAGGAGTCAAACCTGACCTGGCCCCAGGCTCTCCCTCTGGCACTTTTGCGTATATGAGCAAAACCGAAGGCCAGGGAAGGGTTGATCCCTTTTGAGATGTTATATAGCAGACCTTACGTGGTACAGAAGGGAACGTCGATGCAAGTTGGGGAGAAAACTATAACTTCATACATAATAGCATTAAATAAACAACTCAACAGAATTGGGAAACATATATTTGGAACTCAGGGTAGAGAGTTAGATGGGCCTGTACATAACATTCAGCCTGGAGACTATGTGTATGTTAAGTCTCTTACAGAAAAGATGATTGAACCACAGTGGGAAGGGCCATTTCAAGTGCTACTCACAACATTTACGGCCATCAAGATTAAGGAATACTCAACCTGGATCCATCACACCCGAGTAAAGAGGGCCCACAAATCCCCATAGAAAGTTACACAAACTCAGCCGAGAAGACTACGCTTCTCACGATAAGTCTAATAATCTCCTTTCCCCAAATACCCAGTCAAAGGTTCACTGAATGGCCATGGTCCCAGGTGTACATTGGGTATACTGGGAGCATGGATATAACCAATACTAACTCAGCCTTGACTTTAGCTACTGTAGTAATACGGGGAACAGAGGTGTATACAAAAACCAAATGGAGAGACGTCAATGGAGTACTGCAATTATGGGGAACGGTAGGGCAAGAAATTAGAGTAGGGTGTCGAGTAATGGATAAGATCATCTATTGGTCAGTGCATCAAATTACAGTGTCTGAGATCAAGATATCAAATCCCAAATATATCGTGTCAAGTATTGGCCATATTTGTGATCCGAAAGATCTAGAATGCTGGTATAATTTTACTTTGGCTCAACCTGCTGTTTCTGTGACATGTCTCTGGGCCAAGGATAAACTAGGGCTATCTTTTAAATTTAACATGGTGACTACCCTAGTGACAATCACAACTGAAAGCACAGTAACCATGACAACCACACCAATCGCTGTAAATCTTACACCCAACATATATGAGGTCAGCCTGTACATGATCAGACACGTAGACCAACAGCAAGTGCTGATCAATCCAAAATGGTCTCTAGAAAAGGTAGAATTACAGATATAAGTCAACATTTCTAATATAGAGCCACGTTGTTCCCCCTGCTTGCGAACCTCGAACGAAGGATGGACAACTTGTCTAAGGAAAAAGGGAAATACCTACTGGAAAAGATCACAGACAGACCTAACCAGAGTATTAGGAACAGGATTAGGAGTGTTGAATTCAACAGATTCAGAAGTAATAATGAACCAATTATCAGCTACTACAAGGGATATATCAAAATTACAACAGCCATTGAGGTTTTCACTATCAGCATTAGGGGTACATCAATAGGCAATGTCAAAAATAATGGCAGATTGGGAGCAAAAAGAAACAAAAAAATCACACACTTATTGCTGAAACACTGGGAGCATTACAAGGTGATGTCGCCATAGCTCTAAGTTGCATACAAGCCCAGTTATGGATGCAAACAGTAGCAGAATCTGTAATAAAGGAAGGAGAGGAGGGCACACTTCCCACTGAAATTCAAAAAATAGTTTGGGATAGTGCCACAGAGACAAAGTTACAGTCATGGTGAAATATTGTCAACTTCACCTATAGGCCTGACACGCATACAGTAACGACTTTTGTGTTGACAATACATGATGCAAAATTAATCACCATACACCCCATTGTAAGCCTCAGAGTCAATCACAACGGGACTCTGCTGTACCCCTTTGAACATAAGACCTGGGCTATGAATACTGACAATAAATGGCAAACAGTAGATCTTGAACCCTGTATCATGAAAGAACAACAGAGATTTATATGTGAAAGTAATACCTTAATAACCCAGGATACCTGCTTAGATACTGACCAAAGATTTGTTACTTTGGAGCACGTAGATTTGAGGACCATTGTTGTCTATACTGGAAAGGGATGTGCCTGTTTAAGGACACTGTGTGACACAATAACAACAGAAGGGGCAAGAAACTTTACTCACAACCTTTCATGATGGGGAAAAGATAAAAAAGGTCTTAAAGATGGTTGAGCAAGAAGGGAAACATAATTAGTGGGATACGCTCCTCGGATGGTCGCCTACAGCTACTGGAATCTTAAACACAGCCCTTCACCCAGAGGTTGTTTTATTAATATCTGTAGCAGTTTTGTTGATCCTTACTGTAGCTACATATGTATGGATCTGGAGACTTACAAAACGCTTACAAGCTATGCATGATGCTTCATATCACAATCCGAGTTTTAAGAAATAAACTAACTAATTTGTAGGATAGTACTAACATATTATGGGGCCAGGGAAATAGATTAAGAAGTAGATAAATAAGTAGTAAAAGAAATTACTAAGTAGGAAGAAAAGGGGGGAATGAGATGGGGAGTCTAAACAATCTTAGATTGATGGTACAAGACTGGCAAACTTGTGCAAAGACAAAAGGAGGCATATGGGGCTGTTCGCAAAGACATACCAGGTGCTGATAATGTTGCTAGGCTACTATCTCCTAGCTCAAAGAGAAGCCTCCTCTGGTCCTTGAAGTTGTGGGTATCAGCAACAGATTACCCCACAAACTGGCCAGGCAGTCTGGTCAGAAGCCAGAGAACAACTGAGGCTGCGCAGAGCGACAGGGTGAAAAGCTCATCAGCGAGGAAGAAGAGGTACTTCATCTATGCGACCCCTGCCCAGAACTTCAAGAGCTCATCCATCGTGCAGGCGTAAGGGGAGGAGACCTGATTACCATGAGAAGTGAGGAGAGGCGGGGGTAGACTATGTATATGTATAGGCGTTCTATGAATATGACTACTTTATAACATATAAGCCGGACGGGAGCTGCAAACGGCGCGCATGCTTGTGGTGGAGCGATCCCCCATGCACTCAGCGCTGAATAAACATACCTACCTTAGAACTCCACAGTTACAGAGTGATTTTTCCGTAAGTCAGGACAGCATGAAGCTCTACTCATCCCCTTATCTATAGCCACATTGGTTCCTGAAAAATGGATTCCAGCCATACTGCCACTGTAGATAGCCTTCAGAAACCAATACCATTTCAAAAAACAAAAGAGGTCAAAATCCTGGCCTCTGAGCCCACAGGAGATCTTAGCTCAGTGCAGCTAAGATTTTGCCCACCCACAAAAAAGGTAGTCCAGTTTTGCTTTCTGCAAGGCAGGCAAAACAGTTAATAAAATTCCAGCAGACACCTAGAACTACATCAGCTGGGTCCTCATTACATCACTAGAACAATGAAGCTGCAGGAAGACCTGTCATATTCAGAGGAAATGAGACAAAGACTCTCTAAAGGTAGTTAAGAAGACAAAAGGAAAGAAAAGCATGCACATGACTTGGGCCTGGTGGCTGTGGCATTCCCCTGAGCAGTAAATCTCCTGACAGCAACAGAAGCAGAAAATTTGGTTCCCCCAGTGTTATCAGTATTAAGTACATGAGAAGGGACAACTGACAACAACAGGTAACCTCACTATAGTACAAGCAGGTGGGAGACCACTTGAAACTCCACTTCCATCATCCACCTTGTCAGGACCTCAGTTTCCCAAGTGACAAAACAAGAACATAAATCTGCCATGAGATGAACCTAACAGTCTGTAAATTGCTGGATTGTTACAGTGAGAAATGCCATTGGAAGAATCCAGGTGGAGGAAGCTGTTCTGTTGTCTCTCACCTGCCATCCACTGCAGCTTCTCTGCCCACTACACATTCCAAAATAAAGGCTAAATTGCTCTTTGCCAAAGATTCCCAGCTTGACTGGGTCAAGTAAGCACAAATCATGGTCTTCTGTCTGTGGTTCAGTATATACCAGAATCTAAAATGTGCAGTATGAACTGCAGGTTTTATTAGGTCATTTACACTTCAGAAAGTCTACTGTATTCCCTTGCGCTGTGGCATATGCTGGAGAACTTCAGCAGAAGCTCTGGAGATGTAGTGGCACTGGCTGCAGATGTACACAGGCCTTACCAAAAGAAAAGCATCCTGAGGATATATGTAGGTGTGGACACATGCTTTGCATTACTCATAGGAGGGGAAAAAAATAGCAGTCAAATACGTCAGTTGTTTTCCTATTTAAAGTACAATAGGTATTCTGGATTATAAAAGAATCTGTCTTCATGTGCTTGAAAGATAAACCCTGGAACCTGTGTTAGAAGCAAGAGGATAGTCTCTAACAGAACGGAATTGGAAAGAATTTCACCTGTGACTCATTCGAATCTGCCCCAAGGCTTCTTACACTTTTCTTCAACTCCCCTAGCCCCCATTAATGACAGCAAGCTGTATCACATAGGTCAGTGGTCTGATAATCTGTTGCAGGGTGGGCAGGTTAAAAATAAGGCAACAGATTGCTGCTACCCATATAATCCAGACACTGAAGCGCTGTGCATTGCTGTGACAATCCTGCCGTAGAATGGATGCAGCCTTTGGACTTCAGGGGACCTACAAGCTGCAGGCTGGAAAGTGCCATCAAGAGGCTTTGTGGATCACTGCTGTGAACGCTGGCCTTCTGAAACTTCCCCTCTATGCAGCACGAAAACTGATCAACCCAGACAGGAATAGAAACCCTCTGAAGAAACCTCTGACTGCTGCTAGATGGTGTTAATGTCTTCATCAGCTGGCTTTCCTTCTCCTAGTGAGACTTGAAATAATCTATTAATGCAGATTTGGAATCTGGTTTTCTGCTAGAGGTATTGATGTGAAATCTCAAAACCCCATAAAAAAGTGTTTGGTTTTTTGTTGTTGTTCTGAAGGTAACAGAAGCCCTCATCCAGTGACCTTAGCAAATTCCTGTGTGCATCTTAACTTTCCTTACCTACCCTGACATTTCAGCTGGATATAGCTTATGTCTATTTTCTGTACACTACATTTTCCATATCTGCAAATACTGCCAAACCTATTAGCTTGTGTTTAAAGCTTTTATTTATTGTATTTTGAGCTTGTCCAGACTCCTCCCCTACTAGTGCAGCTTACATAATCCTTTTCTTGAGATGACAGATGTGCATTTTCAAAAAGAGGATCCTGCATCTGCATCTCATTTTGTTTTACTGTAGCTTAATCAGTACTTTGTTAACAGTATTATTTAGGAGATGTTATCAAGCCTCATACACTTCACATGCATTTGTCAACTTGACAAACAAACCTAATCAAGGGAGCTTAAGGGAGAGAAACTAACACTTCTTTCCCTGCAGTACCTTTCACATTTCAGGGCTAGTACAACATTAGAAGTGAAAAGAACCCTTGTACTCAGACCAGGAAGATATAATTCTGGATTATTGCTATTTACAGCTATGCCTCTGCCCATATATCTTGCACTGTTTACTAGTTCAGCTGCAACTTCTCCCTTTATTATCTCAGTTCCTCCTTTCCTCCACCTGTTAGTGTCCTAAAAATAATCAGCTTCAAGACTTAAAAACATTTCTCTTCAAATATTTAAAAAAAAATGTTATGTAGTTGAAATCAAAAGAAAGGCTTAGAAATGGGACAAGAGATCCTTCTGCATGTTACCCACATTCCCTTTGCAAGTTTCTCAATGTACAGGGATATATAGCTGTGGACTACATGCAACACAGAGAAACAGAAGTATCTGCCAGATCTGGTTGACTCCTCTCAAAATACGAATATGATTGTTTTTACAAACATAATACAACTTGACAAGCAAGCTGTTAAACTACAGCATCAATAATAATGGTCCCAGAGCTCTTAGCAACCCTCCCTTGATTTTAATGGAAGCTGAGCAGGATCTGCACCTCTGAAAAACAAATTCCTTAAAATCTGTCCCCTTCAAATCAAAGCAGCTGCAAAATGCAATTATAAACTAGCTTAGTAGCATTCAGAAGAAAACAAATGTCACTTCCCTCTGTTCTGATAACAAAATAATACAGTCATTACAGTCCCCTGAGAAAAAAGAAATTACTTGTGTCTGCTTATGCTACCTGCATGAGCAAGCATCATGATAATTCCTGATGTCCTGTGAAAGAACAAAGCACCAGGTGCTCTCCACACACACACGGGCAGTAAGCTCCTGCTACAGAGGCAGAACTTTAACTACATCAGTGGTCTGCTAGGTAATACGCATTGTTAAGTACTCCCATGTATATTTGTTGATGAAACAGTCCATAACAACATCAGCAATAACCCCTGGGACAGTAACTATAACACAAAAAAGAAACAGAGGTAAAGCAGAAGTTTCATTCCCTACACTGGGAAGCTCTAATGGTGGAGGCCTGGGAGAAGTCAGCAGCCAGGGCTGCTGTCTTCTCAACCAGCAAGTTGCTCTACCTGCTCCACTGAAATTTCCAAATCCATTTGCAGAAGGGGGTGCCAATCGTTCTTTCGCCTAGATAATCACCATTTCACCTCACCCCTTAACATTAAACACATCTTCCTGTCCCGAGGTGCTTCTGAACAGAGCAGATCTAGCATATGAATCACACCGCAAGCTGTGAATCTACAGATTTGTTGCAAGCAGGATGTAATATCACAGCATGTATGGGACTTGCCTTGTTATCACTCAGCCACGATCCCATCAACTCCCACAATGAGCAGAGACTGACTTCCAGAGAATTTAATGCCCCCCTCCAGAAGAGGCATTCTTCCCTCCAATGTGGCACTGAAGCCAAGCTGCAGAGCAAAAATTACACTGTCTTAATCACATGGCTCGAATGAAATTTTTCTTAAAGATACAGATGATAGCTTGGTTTATAATACCCACTGTCAGAAGACAGCATGTCACAGTACCATGCCTATTGCTACAGTTTTGGAGAAAAGCTATTTTTCCTTCTTCATTACATGTTCAAAAGCATTGCACAGCAGTAACCTACATGGATTCCATCACTGTGCACACTGGTGATGCAATGGTTGATGCATCTTTTCCTTACTAACCCACAGAAAGGGTTAAAGAGCACAGTGGTGGGGTTGCATACAATTCGATATTCTTAAATTAAAGTAAAATAAAAAAGGTCAGATTACTGTGAACACAGGTTTGGCAATGGCCCACTAAGATTGCTGCAGTTGGTCCCCTGCAATTGTAGATCACCCTGCAGTCAGCACAGAAGTGTCCACAGTACATCTACTGGATACAAAAAACACGCCCCTCCCCAATTCTCATGGACAAAAGCCAAAACTCACAAAACTATGACATGCCAGGGAAAGACAGCAAGTGATGTCAAGGATAAGGCAACACCCCAGACCTCCAGAATAATAGCAAATCTATTGGGAAAAACACTCACATGATCATTATGATTTGGCAAAGCATTCTATATAATGATTGATGGTTTTTAAAATAAAATGTTAGTGAAGTTTATAATCAAATGGAAAGAGGAACATACTAATACATGTATAGACCATGACAGAGATCTTCATCAGCATATATTTGCAGGCAAATTTCTGGTCTAGGACAAGTCAACATGATATAATGTAACACCTAGGATAATTTATAATCACTTCCCATTCTCTACTATAATCCCTTTGGGGTTCATGAAACACTAAATCATTTCCAAAATCCAGCGAAAAATTCCTCTGTATTTTAATCTTAAAAATCAATAAGGTCTATTAAAATAAATGCATACATTTACATCGAAGACAATGAAAGCCTGTGTTTCTCAAACAGTGTAAATATTTACAACAGAAGATAGTGATGAAACAAAACAATCTCATCATTGTTCAGTGAGGACATTGCTCACATTCTGTACTGTACACAGATAACAATGATGCATTTTAAGGAAAATCCTGTGCTACATCACTTACTTTCCATTACATCAGAGGCTTACAGTTGTAAAAGCTATTTATGAACAACAGGCGCCTAAGCAACATTCTTCACTATTGTTTAACTGCTACGAGGCAAAACATTCCTCTTAAGCCAGAGTAAAAAGAATATACTATTGACTAAATGATTCTGTGTTTTGAAGAAGTATGAAATCATTCCTTCTTTGTCTCTGGGTAAGAAAATTCCAAAGTGGTGCACATAAGAATGCATTTCTATTGAATGATTTATGAGTTAAATGTCAGGTAACTCTTTATTCACAGGTTTCAGTTACAGCATATCTTTGCTCAGAAGTCTTAATAAAATCTAGATTTCTGGATCATTATGACAAACCTTTTAGCTCTTTCTGAGGAAATAGGTATAAACCACATTCTTCACGACTTGTGTGATGCAATTGGAAGAGTCCAAACCCAATTTCTAAAGTTTAAGCACAGAGTAAAAAGGGCAATGTACCAAGCATGCTGTATCCAATTCTTTCAAATTTACTGACATTGGTAATTATGTTTTCAACTGTTAATTTCTCACATTTTAAAGCAACCTGAACTTCTGATGCAAAACTAGCTATCAGAAGTAATCTGCTGTCCCACAAAGTTAAAACTTTTAAATTTTAAATACATTTTAAATACAAGGGAATACTACAAGTCATTTAAGGATAACAGATCACTGTGAGAGCTTTTTATAAGGAAGTACATTCAGGCATAACATATCCACTTTATGGCTATTTCTCTCAGTTTTTTTCCATGCGGATACCTTCTTGATACATTTGCCAGTGTCCAACAACACCCTCTCCAGAGGGCAACATGGGAAGGACCAGCACTGCAGGCTGCACAAGAACTTGTGCTCCAGGCAGAAATAACCAGCTGGGGCAGGAGGGTCCACAGCCCCAATAGACATAAAGCCGATTTAATTTTATTCCAAATATAACAAGTACAGAGGTGTGCTCACTGGCTGTGGTTCAGTAAGGCAAATCATTTAAGTTCTTCAGTTTAGTAGCTTCTGTGCAATGGAAGGATAACAGTGCTTACACTTCCCTCTCTAGGCTGTTTCAGCTGCACAGCTAGCTTCTGTGGGGGTGGCATTGCTCCTTATCATGGCAATGTATGGTACCTGGTACAATCCAGAGCACAGACTGAAATGCTACAGTAATACAAGCAGTAAGAGCAGTACACATCTGAGTTGCTCCTTCAGTTTCATACCAGCATTCTCACCAAAAATTGTCAGATCTTGATTTGATACAGTTGCTAGCTAGATGAACATGGTATTTCTCATTAATTTCAACATGAAAGTCATGCTAGGAACAGTTTAAGAACCTCTGTGTCACAGCATTATTGTTAAAAAGTAAAGCTGTATAAAGCTTATAGACAGAGTCCATGCCTATGAACAGAATTAATTCCCCGCTAGCGCCAGAACAAGTTGGCCTCTTCCAGCTGCAACTTTATCATGGGGTATGTTGTGTAGTTAGAAAGGATGCATGTACTCTTTCTTATCGCAAGTGTCCCTGGTGTAAAGGCCAGGAAAGCTGATTTCAGATGGCTGACAAGCAGCCTGGCTTCCCTCATCCCAGCTCCCCACTCCAGCACTGACACCAACACACGCTGGCAGCAGAGAAGCATCAGCACAAACAGTTTCCCTTCATTAGGGTGTTATTTCACACAAGCGTGCTGACACGCGTATGTCAGTTCTGCTAGTCTTCCCCCCACAACAGTGCTCTGTGCCACCCGAAAAGAAGTGACTGGCATTACCGAACCCCAAAGACAAGGCATCAGTTACCACAGTCTATAAAGGGCCATTCATCCCCACCAAACCTAAAATAGACACTGGATGTGATCACGAGATGAATACATGACTGTGGATTCCTTTAAATCATTGCCTTCTTACATGGACAAGAAACCAGCGTCCAGCAGTTGCATCCTCACTCGTTGTCCTTGTTCTCAGTTATCAAGTGTTGACCCTTTCTGTCCCATCCAGTATTAGTCCTTTCTTTTCTACAAATATTTAGAAGCTTATTTTATGAGAAGTTTATAGAAAAAACACAAAACTCTACTAATCCTTCCTATGCAAGACCTTTATACAATCCTATTAAATCAAATCCATCACAGCTATCACCAGAACTACAGCAGTATTTCTGAAGTCAGTTTGCCATCCACTAGCTGCTCATCACCAGTCAACTGCAGCCAGCTACAGAATGCTGCTAAGACAGAGTGAAATATCCAGGTACAGAGAAATTGCCTATTCATGAGAAACCCCAGAATGGCACACCTGTTTCTTGCTGCTGGAGAGGAGGCTGACTTACACAGTGCTCTGTTGCCCTTCTGCTTAAGTGACTTCTAGTTTTAACTCCAGCAGATGCTTCAAGCAATCTTCAAGTGTCTACTAAGGGTCAGGAGAAGCCCGGGCTGTTAAGAGAGCAACATGCTCTCAGACAAAATATGGTTTAGAAGAAACCTGGTGATAGCTGGGCCAACACAGTGAAATGGATTCTTGGATGATGCTGCATATCCACTGGACAAGTAAAAGAAGTTGATATGGGAAGCTGTCCAAAGAGGGAAAGGCTTAAAACAAAATTCAGGATCATGGCCACATCACTCTGATACCAACTGTGTCACATTTTTCAACCCAATCACATTTAGAAGTGGCTTTTCTGTCTTCTCCCCTAACAGATGCTCTTTGTTTTAAATTAGTTTAGACAGGAGCCAGACAGATGAGCCAAGTGTGCTAAATAAGGCCCTTAAAATTTAGGTGCACATGAGCACTATTGTAAAATCTGAAACAGCCATACAGACAAAACCTGGAAGGAATAGCAGTTTCTATCAGGCACCTGTTGAAATCAAAGGCAAGAAGAAAAACTTTTAAAGCTAAAAATCTCATCAGTCCTGAAGGAAAATGTACTGCTGGAAAGAGGGGAGCATCAAACCTGTTGAGGTCACATCAGAATTTTGCATTAACTGCATTTAGAGATGCAGTGAGAAAAACCCACCTGACCCCACCCTACTCTCTCCTTCATATTTACCAGGACCCATACCTGCTGACCATGTGGTTTCCTTCTTTAAGTAATTACAATAACATTCAGGGATGTTTGCTCTTCCAAAGAGTAGATAAAAAAATTACTACAGACAAAAAATTACTAGACGGTAATGTCTGCTGAATTAGGCTAATGGAGAGATAAGGACATATTTCTTTATTAACCATTTTTAAATGGCAAATACAAGATTTATTTTTTCTTCTAACTGAAAGAACTACTCCTTATTCCAAATGCAACAGATGTTAGAAAATTAAGACAAAATCTCCTCAGTTTTCTGCTCACTTAAAACAGTTGGCATGTTCTACTCCACAGGCAGTCCCATCTTTGGCACAGGCTCCCACACATGGGCTGTATAGCAGCATCAACATGGTCATAAAGCATTTAAAGACAAAGGATATGAATTCTGCTATTTTTGAAGTGACAGGAATCCACAAGTGACCAAAACACTGCTGCTTTCTCCTTGGAGGACCAAATCACTCCCTTCAGTCTCTGACTTCTGGAAGAAGCAGCACTGTGATTAGGAACAGGCACGGTCCTCTCTGTGTCACAAGTGACCTCATGCCTGTCACAGTCCTTCTCCACTAGCTGTGCTCTCTCTGAATGAGGCATAAAGCCTTGGTTCTGGAGGAAGTTACGCTTCTTATTTTACAGGAACACATGCTATTCAGTGAATGATATTACCTGGCAATGGCAAAAGCTCCAATTACCATCCTTTGCCGAAGAAGTAATTTGATAGAATCTCACAACATTTCCTGGATAGTTAACCGAAGTTTCACAGCTCAGCAAGACCAGCTGATCTCTCACTGCCCCAATGCTGATGACAGTAACCATCTAACT